TTTAATCGTCACCCGGCCATCACCGTCAACGGTGCGTCCTTACCGCTAGTCCGCAAGCCCAAACTCCTTGATGTGCGTTTTGATCCGCTTTTTACGTTCGCAGACTATGCCATGGAGGCCGCAGGCAAAGTGAGCCGCGGCACCAAGGTCCTCAAGGCCCTAGCAGGCACATCCTGGGGCTGCGCGAAAGATGGTCTGGAATAGTCCTGCGATATTGTTGCAGCCGGTTGATTGAACTCTACTATGCTGATTATATCGCTTTACTGGCTTAAAGCTTTGACGATCTACAGTCTACGGTGTCACGGGTGAACGAGATCACGAAATCGGTCAGCTTTTCCATAAACCCTGGGAAGACCAGCGTGCCTTCATGCTGCATTTCTGCCCGAGAGAAGGCACCTCTCGAGATTAGTGGCTGTTAACTTTATGATGGCATTGTCTCCCGAATAGATTCAGCTCGTCCAGTTTTCCCAAACTTTAGAAAGTGCCTATGGACCCGACACGATATTTCTATCTCCCCAAAGATCCGCGTGTACCGCGCACCTATGCGGTCCGTTCTTCTATACGGATGCGAATGTTGGGCTATGCGCGTGGAAGATGAACGGAATCTGGAAGCCTTCGACCGCTTATGCTTGAGGGCCATCCTTCGAGTGAAGTGCACCGACTTCGTCTCAAATGAGACAGTCCACACTCGCTGCGACAAAATCACAAGCATATCCCAGGCCATTTAAGAAAGGCGATTGAGGTCGTTTGGACACGTTCTTCGTCGCCAACCTCAAGAGCTCAGTGCTACTGCCCTCGACTTCAAAACCGTTACCTAATTGCAAACGTCGAAAGAAGGAGTCAACTCAAAACCTGGCTCGACTCAGTCCGTCAGGACATGGAAGTAATTCTTGCACCTTCGGTATTCGGTCTCCGGCGCTGGCGAAGAGAATGGTTCGAGCTGTCCAGGTCTGCTGCCTCGGATTGTCGCTCGTGGAGAAGCACCGTACAGGACATTATTGAGGCCGGCTAGATCAGTCATGACCGCAGCCGCAACAAGTACAAGTACAGTAGCCAAGTTTGCCTCCCAAACACGTTAATTTAGAACTAACCTCAAGACCAGTGGCAAAAAAAACTATTCAGCGGCTATTCGCGTCTTCTTCAGTACTTTCGTCCAGCTCTGAAGGCGCTAACAGCAGGTTTGGTGCATCCGATATCAGCCCTCTGTCTTCTGATAACACAGCAACCAGCGTGCTGGTGTGACAATACGTATTGAACAGACTTGGCATCAGCCTGCTATGTTGTTCACCGACCACGCACTTCCCCGGTAGCTAGCAGGGCAACTAAAACGGGGGCCTATCGGGCCCCCAACATGCAAGCAGAGAAAGTGAGGAGCCGAGTGCTTCGAATTTCAAGTTCACTTTCAGCTCTCCAACGGTAACGACTGCCGTTAAGTATACCGACTTCATCACGAATGAGACAGTCCCATCCGCTGCGATCGTATCACGAGGATATCTCAGGCCATTCAATAAAGGCGACTGAGGTGGTTTGGACACGTTCTCCGTCGTCTGTCCCACGAGCTTAGCTATGCTGCCTTCGAACCGGCACCGCAGCCCACATGGAAG